GACTAATGAGCAGTGATAACACTTTTCCTTAGTCAAGTCAAGTCAAGTAACCTTTATTTAATGCTGTAAAGTTGCTTTGACACAATCTGTATTGTTAAAAGCGCTATATAAATAAAGGTGACTTGACTTGACTTGACTAAGGAAAAGTGTTATCACTGCTCATTAGGGTAAAGTTGAACTCTAGTCAACAGCTCTAGTCAACAGTTTTTGTTGCATCAAATCAGCAACTTTCATCACAATTAAAGATATTTAGTCGCTTTGTCACTATTTATTGCTGATAGTGCAAAGGCTCATTTTGAAAACGCATATATGCTAATGTGTATTACTGCAGCATGAAGGGAATTACTTCATTCTGAGATAAAATTTATTTGTGGCCTGGTAAATGTGCATTATTCAGTGGTGCAGACGATGATAAATTATGTTATTTTGAGTACATGACAGCTAGATGAGACCTCGTACCTTATTTGTATCATGAACACAATGCTAAACTTAATAAAAATGCTTCTGACATTTGGAATATCTCTTGAGAAAATATTTTGCTGTATGCCTTTACAGGGATGTTATTCTTTTTATAAAAGAAAAAAAAAAAATCCTATAATGCCCTGGAAAGAGCACTTTGCTCGGTAGGTGCCACAAATTATGTAGAATTGGCAGTTGTTTAGAAGTTCTAGAAGTGTTAACAGCTTTGGAAATAGAAATCAGGATTTGTGAATTCAGAGGTGGTTTCAGAAGTCGGTTATATATCTAATTAGGTCTATTTGGAGAGAAGTTCTTGTGTGCTGCCACATCTGCCTGTCTATCAACATGGACATCTGTAGAGTACAAGAATTATAGAATAACAGCACTAAAAATACCAGTCTGAATTCAAGCAGATATATGAGGGGTTTGGACCATTTGAAGACTTAAACCCCCTTTAAATCACCGCTGCATTGTTCTAAATGTATTTCACTGTCTGTTAAAAGAGAGAGAGAGACAGAAAGAATGAATGACAGCTTTTATTTGTATTATTCTAAAATAATATTTTTTTTTTTTTAAAAACTATGGAAATGGGCCTTCAGAAAAAAAAATTAGAAAAAGCATGAAGTAAAAAATAAAATACGGAGGTCCATTTATGCCATCCAGCAGTCGTCAGCAGTCGAAAATGTAATCTAATTTTTCTTTCATTTTTCCATTCAGTTAATCATCTGATTAAAAGAAAAACAATTTCCTTCTGAAGCTGTGGAGATCAATGGGGCTTATCACATCTGAAGCAGTGCCACAACAGGCGACCAAATCAAACACGCAAATAAATAGCTTTACAGTACATCACATAATTGGTCCCAAAGCTCTTGCTGCGTGTTCGGGAACTGACTCCTTGAGGGTTTTTTTTTTTTTTTGGTGGTGTGTGTGTGTGTGTTTTTTTTTAGCCCTATACATATATGTGCACATGTGCGTACCTGCGTGCTAACGGTTCCAGGGCTGGGCGGCTCCTCATCTGGTTTGAGTTTGGAGCGTTTGTGATGCATGGGGTCCCCTGTGCTACTCACAGCCGACTCACTGGTGGGTTTACTCTAGAAACAAATATTTTAAAAACACATGAAAAAATTACATCATAATCATCATCATCGTCAAAAATATAGGTCCAAATTTAGTTTGGAAGTTGCATGACTACAATATTCATATTCATGTGGTAGTAGTCCAAGGTGCTTCAAAGAATACCGTAGTTCTTCTATGGTCTATGTCTAAACATAGAATTACCACGATCAATCAAAGAATAACATTGTACCCTTTATGAAATAGAAACATATTTTTAGCATACTTTTAAAAAGATAACTTATTAATGTGGAAATATTATACTTGGGATATACTTAAGTGTGAATGTTTAGATGTAATTTCATAATTACTTCTACTGTTTTTGAAATATGATTAAAGTTTAAGATGGTTAAGATCCTACCTGTCCGATCGCTACCACTTTGTTCATTTAAATGGGGAGTCATCTCAATTATCACCAGTAAGTCTCTATTTGTTTCTCAGTTTTTGCCACGGGATGTAGGATTTACACAAGCTTCAGTCTGGATCCAGAACACCTGAGAAGAGATGATGCCAACCCCTCAGAGGACCTCAGATGATGCCAACCCTGGAACAACATACAGAACTACCAAATTTTGCTATAAGTTTGATTGCATCATATAATAATTGCTGTTAATAGTGTTCATCGTCTGTTTGATTACGTCTTTAATTGATTACATCTTTAATTGATTTTTCTGTACATTTCTGCCATATGTACATTAACTGACAGTCACCACTGATAAGCTACCACTAAATATTGTAGAAACTTAATTTGCTGTAAAGTTGCTTTGCAACGATTTGTTTCGTGAAAAGCGCTATACAAATACACTTGAAATAAAGTGTACTACTGAATGTACATTTACATTTAGTCATTTAGCAGATGCTTTTATCCAAAGCGACTTACAAATGAGGACAATGGAAGGTATCAAAATCAACGAGAGCAATGAAATGCAAGTGCTATAACAAGTCACAGTTATCTTAACGCAGCAAGGTTTTTTTTTAATTATATAATAAATAAAAAAGAAATCCGATAGAATAGAAAAAGAATAGAGCCAACCTTTTTTTTTTAAAGAAAACAAGCAGTTAGTAAATGAATAGAGTGCAAGTCTAAAAGGGGCAAGTTTTTTCTTTTCTTTAAATAATAGAATTAGAATAGATTGTGCTAGAGTTACAGGGTCAAATAAAGATGGAAGAAATGTGTTTTTAGCTGATTCTTGAAGATGGCTAAAGACTCAGCTGCTTGGATTGATTTGGGCAGGTCATTCCACCAGGGGGGAACATTTCATTTAAAAGTCTGTGAAAGTGATTTTGGGTAAAGGGGTGCAGAGCCAGTGGTGGTTTTGTACAAACATTAATGCCTTGAATTTTATGCGAGCAGCTATTGGTAGCCAGTGCAAACTGATAAACAGAGGTGTGACGTGCATTCTTTTCGGCTCATTAAAAATTTAATTAAATTCAAGTTCTAGATTAATTGTAAAGGTTTGATAGAATTGGCTGGAAGACCTGCCAAGAGAGCATTGCAATAGTCCAGCCTGGACAGAACAAGAGCTTGAACAAGGAGTTGTGAAGTATGTTCCGAAAGAAAGGGCCTGATCTTCTTGATGTTGAATAAAGCAGAATCTGTAGGACTGGGCAGTTTTAGCAATGTGGTCTAAGAAAATCAGCTGATCATCAATCGTAACTCCAAGATTTCTGTCTGTTTTTGAAGGAGTTATGGTTGATGTGCCTAACTGGATGGTGAAATTGTGATGACACGATGGGTTGTACTGACAATGTCTACTATTTAAAAGTGTACGTAAGGGTGTTCAGATATGATCATGCAAGTGTACTCTCTTTAAGTACACTTAAGTGGCCTTTTATTTCATTAATATTATATTATATATGTAAGTACAGGTTTTTTTTTTTTAAATATACTTCTGAGATTTGACTAAAAGTGACTAAAAGTGCACATTCAGTACAATTAAGCACACTTCCTTTTCACAAGGGACTAAAATATGGTACATGACTTAAAACCACTGTATTGCTATGGTTTGTCCAACCCATAGGAAACATTTATTGCTCAGTGGTTGCTTTAAATAGAAGTTAGAAATAGAAGTAGACACAAATGATACATGAGAAATATTTGAGAAAAAAAAAAAAGAGTCAAAACTGAGAGTGTGGTGGAAGAAACATAGAATATCTCTTTATTATCTTGCTGCAATCTCTATCAAGACTCCATTATAGGAATATTTTATTGCTCAGTGGTTGCTCTTTCTAACCTCCGAAGACGTAGTGGTGATTCTCATGTATTTCTCATTTTAGTCTCAACAGTGTTTTAGATGTTTCTCCTAAAAAATACTTACGAGAAATAAAAGTAGACTCAACTGAGACATGAGAAAGTTCTGAAAGAAAGGAATCCAAAATTACAATGGGAGAGAAACATGGGAGATTTATTGTCTTGCTGTAATCTCTTGCAAGACTCCATTATAAAAATGTTTTACTGCTCAGAGGTTGCTTTTTTGATTGCAATGGGGTTTTTCACCTTTAATGGTCAGGACAGTAGGAGTAGAGACAGGAAACAGTTTGACTGAGAAAAGGTGAGAATTGAACAGGAGCAGGAAAGTACCTTTAGCTGGGATACAAACCCATGCTGCCTGAGGTGCAGTTGTGCCTTCACATCAGTGTGCTGCCCACAAGGCTATGGCTCTGACAGAGGTTACTCTAGCATTATGATACTAAGGGGTGATTCTCCTATATGTCTCATTGAGATATCAGATTTGTCTTAAGATGTCTTCAGTTTTATTTTAGGAGAAATGTTAAACGTTAAACTTTTACTAATATTGTAAATACTAAAACTATAATTTAAATAGCATTAAACATTTCAGAATATCAATATTACTATTACTAATATTACTAGTTTAAATGTTTACATTTATCTTCGATGTCCAGCATTGTATACACCACACTAGAAAGGAGTTACAAGTGCAAGATGTTTAGTATAAGAGCAATACCTTTTTTAACAAATGTAACACTAGTGTACCAGTTTGTTTGTTTTTTGCTTTGTTTAGTAATACAATTTTGTCTTGTACAGCACATTTTTGCATGTATGTAAATATAGGTTATGGTTTCCTCTGTTAAATCATTGTGCAATAAAACACTGTACATAAAACAACTTCAAATATGACCATGCATGTATTGTCTTTGATTGAAATGGTGTGGATAAATGACATTGAAGCTAACCAGAGGGAAGAAAAATAAAATAAAAAAGAGATCTCTTTAACATTTCAAATATTTCTCCTAGACAGAAATTAGGTTCCCTTTCGATACTTCACTCGTACTGCGTCTTGCTAGACGCATATGGGGAAAAAGCCTTTTTTCTCCTGAACTGAAGCCTTTTTCATCCACGCAGTGAAACTGCATGGCCATTGGTTCGTGCAGTTTATTAAAAATGAACCAATGGCTAGGCAGCGGAGCTGCACGAGCCTATGGCGACAAAGCCCGCCAAAGCCTGCCAAAGCCCGCCAGAATGGGCGGGGCATCTGGCTATATAAGCGGGCGCTCGCCAC